CTCCACATTCAATGGTAGGCTAAAACAGTCCTCTTTTAAGACTGAGAAGTAGTCTCTTTTTAGGGGAATCCCACTCCAGAGAGTGGGGTTAGGGAGGATGTTATTAGTGGGCGAGGAAACAGGAGCAACCGGAGGAAACCTACACAGACACTGGGAGAACATGCAAACTCCACGCAGAAATATCTTGAGGTGAAATTAAAACCCAGGACTGTGAAACACAAGCTCTAACCACGGCATTTTCTGTGATCGAACAGTTTACTTCTACAATCTGTACGATCTAGTTTTGATCCAAATCTGAGTATGCACGGAGTGCGTTGTTTATCATATTCATTGCCACTTTGTGCAGGTCAATTGTTTTCATTCATTCATTCATTTTCATCCAGGGGGGTGGCAATCAGAGCTGCCACCCAATTCACAAAGCACCAGTCCCTCACTGTCCCTCCTGCAGGTGGTGAGTCCACAGGAAGATGGCTGCTTCTTCAACGCAGATACGCCCTTGATCTTTCAGCTGGGACTTCAGACAGAGTGGGGTTAAAGTGATAGTATGTAACTCTAAATTAATTCTAAATTTTAAGAATTGTAGTAAGTTGACCTCCTGGCCTTAAATGTTGATATAAAATAAGTCATTTTATCAATTCTAATATTACAGTTAAGTCCCGCCTTCACTTCTCTTAGCTATAGCTCAGAATCCACGATGCCGTCCACGTTAACCAATTGAGTCATGCCAAGGGTTGTCAATCATCAGCGCTGATGCCCGTATCTCCGCGCATGCTCAGTCGTTTGTTTTAGCGGAGCCTCCGAATCAAGCCTCCATTAGGCTCTGGAACTACATGAAAACTGAACAAAGAATTCTGAAGAATTCTGAACATCCGCGCTGAGTTACTTATGTATATACTGAACCTCTATCCATAATCAGATCCTCTGCAGATGTGTCCTATAATGTGCAATTCATGATAATAGCTTCTTCGGGTTTGCCGCGATTGCTTTTTGTGTGCATTAAAACATAATTTTTTTCATGAAAACGTTAACATACAATTCTGAAAACCTCCGTGCATGTGTATTAATAATGTACATGTATAATGTGTTCTCTCATTAACATTTAAATGTGTTACGGAAACGTAGGTGTAAACCAATCAGAAAGGAAGGGGGAGGGAGCTTTTTTCAAATCAAGCACCTCTCCCTCTCTCTTTCTGACAAACTGCAGACAATCACTTTAAGTGTCTTGTGTCTTAAGGCAGTGTTTTTCAACATTTTTTGAGCCAAGACATTGAAAAAATCTTGTGGCACACCACCATGAGAAAATGTAAAGATATATACTCTGTAGCCTATATTTACAATATAAAGTCATTCTTATCAAAGTGCTTAAATCCAGGCCTTGCCATTAAGCTTGATTTAATATTTCTCAATACAATGAGTTAAGAAGAGTTTGTTTTTCCCCCACTTTATTCCCAAACATACAAAAATCCACTCTCTGCCCAAAAAGTTATATAATGACTCAGAAGTAGGGATGTAAAAAACTATGAATTTTCATGACCGACCACCGAGCCTCATTAGCCGGTTGAAACCGGTTAACCGCGTAGTTTAAAATAGTCCACGTTCTTTGAAATAACAGCCATTTCGAGCCGCGTACTTTTCATAAGTGCAGCTCTGCGTTCTACTGGATCAGAGTTGAGACAGCGGCGCCCAAACCCGCAACAGCTCCGGCACATTTGCGCACAGAGAACTGCTTTTTTAATCTTCCCATTCTGCTGTGCTGCGGGTTAATACCAAAACTTTCTAGCAGCAAACGACGGCTCGTTCACATGGTCAGAGCAGCGAGTGACGAGCCGCGTCTCACAGGTCTTCACAAAAGTTTAAATACAAGTGATGTGTGTGGAGCTGATCCCGAGGACCATAAACACAAACATGTTCCATGTGGTTTGACTGGAGCCGCGTATCTGCGCGAATCCTTTGGGCTCCGTAACACAGAGGAGCGCGACAGACCGGTATGTGTGTATGTATGTGTGTATGTGTATGTGTGCATGTGCATGTGCATGTGCATGTGCATGTGCATGTGCATGTGCATGTGCATGTGCATGTGTATGTGTATGTGTATGTGTATGTGTATGTGTGTGTGTGTGTATGTGTATGTGTATGTGTATGTGTGTGTGTGTATATGTATGTATTAGTGCTGTCCAACGATTAAAATATTTAATCGCGATTAATCGCATGAATTTCATAGTTAACTCGCGATTAATCACAAATTAGTCACACATTTGCGTGCTGTGTGCAATTGCTTTTTTTATTGAAAACAATGTATAGTGTTATATTACACACTAACATTTGATGCAAAATCATCAATAAATGGATGACAAAATAAATAATTGGTAACAAAAAGCCCCTTCAATGTGTGTGTGTGGGTGTGTGTGTGTATGTGTGGGTATAGACCATAGACTGTATAGAAACATCATGGTGTCATTATGATGATGATAAACAATCTGTAAATATTTTGTAAATTTGTTCATGTAAATACTCTATGCTGTTTCTCTGTTTACCTTCGGTATATCTATGACTGTATACTGTTTGCTTGTATTGCCTTTTTTATTAACCCCTCCCCCCATCTCCCACTTCATGCCCCCCCCTTCCCTCCTATGTGCCCTTCTGGGTTTCTTCTTTGGCCCCCTGTATCTCCAACTACATATTGTTTGTAATCTCTGTCTACAATGTATCTGAACTAGTCCTTTTCTTTGTTTCTATTTTTTTTTTCTGTATATGTGTTTGTCTGCAATAAAAAGTATTGCAGACAAACTGCTGCTGCTGCTGCTACTTTTTTTTATCGCGCGATAAAAAAAATGACGGCGTTAATATTGATTTGCGTTAACGCGTTAATAACGCGCTATTTTGGACAGCCCTAGTATGTATGTGTGTGTGTGTGTGTAAATGTAAGCTCCAATGTAGTTCTGACCCGCGCCAGTGTGCAACTTTGACGGTAACAGAGGGGAGAGATGCTGCTACCTACTGACATGAAAAAGTATTACGTGGTTACGCCACAGTTCAAGACAATCAGCGCTCATCAATAGTGAATGCAGTTATCGTTAGACAAAGTTGGCGAATTTCTCACGGCACACCAGACAATATCATACGGCAGACACAGTTGTTGAAAAACACTGTCTTAAAGCTGCACTAACTGCCTTTGGGATTTTGAAGCCGTGGACTCTCTGGCCTCTCTCTTTCTGCTCCCCTCCCCGCACCCACGAAGCTATCGCCCCCCACACACACTCACTGTTGGGACGGAGCTAGCGTCTCCCAATATGGATAATACATGAATATGGATTTGCACGTGGATGGCGTGACCATAAAACGATAAAACCGGGAAGCGCGGAGGAATGGGACTTTCTTTTGGATGGCTGTCTCGCTGTGTAAGCAGTAACCGGTGATGAAGACACGAAGCTTCAGGTTAGCTCCTCGGCTTGTTGTGCTAACTCAGCTGTCTGTGCTAACGGACCTGTAGATTTCTCACGAAAGTGGGGGCCAGTGGTCCGCTGTGATTGGTCACAATCTGCGACCCGAAACACATTCTCTTCCTTGTTTCATCAAAACTCGATCTAAAATATAATGTCACGCCAGCACAAATCTGCGCTAATTATTCTTCAAAAGGACGTATATCCCTATGCACTACATGGACATGGATAGCATTTTCGTAATGAATACGAAAATAAAGTCAGTTAGTGCAGCTTTAAGGGACACAGCGACAGCAGACATCAGTGGGAGCAGATGACATGAGTCGTAGTGGGATTGAACCATAGACTAAATATTAACGGACGTAGTCACGCCTATCTCCGCCGTTCTAACTAATGTGTCACAACTTCCGCTGCCTATGGGCAATTTCAAACAGCTGCGGAGGCTGAAAAAAGGCAGCTGCCATTCATTTAACGAGTGCCTTCAAAATTTCACAGCGATTAAACGAGAATGGTCCAAAAAAAGTCACTCCCCTCAGCATTGACACACATGTGGAACGGAGCTTTGAGCCAAGAGCCAACTTTTGGACCATCCTGTGAAGACATTTTTGAGAGGTCAGCTAATGCTATACGTTAGCATTGAATAATTCTTATTCCGGGTCCACCCCCATTGGCCCGGGGTGGTATTGCAAGCATGTCAGCGCACATCATTTTGGCCATTTCTGAGCCGGGACCCGCCCCCACTGGATCGAACCCACAACCATTAGGTCCAATGGCAATTAGACCAATGCTCTACCGACTGAGCTACTGTCACCTCAGTCAATTGTTCTAAAATATAAAATTCCAATAAGTTATCTACACTCTTTAATGTGACTACATGAGGAAAAGTTCATGAAGTATAGTATAGTATCAAGGTACTGTATAGGCCTATCTTTGAATTGAAAATGGAATTGGTACACAATCCTAGTTCATTACAGTAAATTCACACCAGGTTGGTACCACTTCATGAGGACTTCTTACATGTAGGCCTCAGTTCTCTGCATGAGAACGAACACATTGCTTAGAGAACATTTATAAAGGTTACATACATTAACCTGTTACTTCTGGGCAGCATCTAAAGAAAAACAAGATCATGGGGTTAAACTACTCTTTATTCTTTCAATTAAGCAACTCAAGACACAGTGGGGGTAACTTTACATAGTAGTTGGAAAAAAATTAAAAAATACACAATGTTCAAACTAATAAGACAAGTGCCCGCCGTCCATAGCCCATCACTCAGTCTGAAGCTATTCAGTGTCCGCTGAGCGCTGCTGTCACTTCACCACGACTTCCAACTCGGCTACACTCCCCTCCACAAGTCTATTCACCCTGTGTCGAGTCAAAGTCCACCAGAAGAACATAAAGTGTGCGGACATTAAAGAAACCGTCCATTGGGAAGCTCTGGGGATACTTAAAGGGCTTAGAACACGCGTTTCACAGTCGCGACGCCCTCCCCTGTACTTCCTAATTCCAATATTCGTGAATATTGCAATAGCTTTCCCGTGGATACCGTGCGTATCTTACCTCGTACAGGTCTCCTGAAGCCATACTGGACGCAGGCTACGGTGGCACGACGTTTTCAGCTGTGTAGTTGCCTTTTGGACCGTACTCTTTCAGCGTTTCAACGATAGACTGACGGGAATTAGCAAGCAGCCGTGTTATTCTGAGCAATCCGCAGTTCCAGAGCAGCAGACAGCGTCAATCGAGCACGGCGCTGTGCGATGGATCGTCCCACACTCACAAACAAACACGGCTCGGGCGGTGCTGCTGTGCGCACCAAACAAGTGAGGAACTGATATGAAGACAGTCCACTTCACACTGCTGATCTCCAGCAGCGTGTGGCAGGGCGGCAGCTCACTGAGGAATCCGATCAGCCTCTAGAGGACACATGCACTAACTCTGTGTATGTGAATGTGTGTATGTGTGCGTGTGTGTATGAGAGAGAGACCCACCTGTGATGCTGAACTCATCTATTACAATGTAGTCTATACCATCTGTTGTCCAATAGTCATTTAGTTTAGTTTAGGCTAACTATCTTCATAATATTTCAATTGAATTACTTGTTGATAGGCCTTTGGCAAGTGGCTACTGAATATTCCCCAGGTGATGAGTCTATGTTTGGTATTTAGTAAGTATTGAAATAAATATGGAAGATCACATTGTTAGTCATCTTAATTTATATACTGTTTTTCACAGACCAGAGTCACAAAGCGGTTTACAATTGTGGGCATTTGTCCTCTCACTTCACAGAGAGATGAGAGCAGGGTCGCCAGTACAGGCCGTGCATGCCAGACCTATTGTACATGTTTTTAGTGGTAGGGGAAACCGGAGTACTCTGAGGAAACCTACGCAGAGACAGGGAGAACATGCAAACTCCACTTTGGGGTTCTCAAATCTGAATGCTGATTGTAACAAACATTACAGGTTGGTGGAGATGCTAACAGTATAGTCACATGAAAATAAACAAAATAAGAAAATCCATAATTTCATTAAAATGATTGAAACACACACACAATTTTATTTTTGTCTAAATTTGAGTAAACTTGATGGGGATAGTGAGTTTTATGCCATTGTGAGGAACATTTGAGTTGAGACATACAGTTCAAGAGAAGCCCATGGAATGGTATACATTCCATCATACAATCATACATCAAATCCCAGTCGGAACAAGGCCTTTCTGAGTGGAGTTTGCATGTTCTCCTCTGTGTCTGAGGTAGGGTGCCTCTGGTTGCTATAAATTCCCTAGCATTAGAAACATGTACAATTGGTAAAATCCCCCAGCTCTGGTCCCAACAAATTAGTCTAGCAGCAACATCTGGAGATGGCTCCCTGATCAATGTGTTTCAGTGACCATAGCTCCTGACAGAGGCCTAATCGTAGCACTGCAGGATGAATAAAATGCAGAGGACAAATGTATATGGGGACGATGAAAAACAACTTTATTATTCAGAATAAACCTTATTCTGATGATTCTGAATCTCGTGATGATCTGGCACATGCCACATTTCTTGATATGAGAGGTGGGTAAGGGAGACATTTTCTTTACGTTACTACTTTGTTCAGACTGTAGTTGTCATACAACTTTAATATGATAAGGAACAACAAAATAGTCTTGAGCTTCTAGGACTCCATCATCCAATAATAGTGTTTATTTTTTTCCTTTTGTTGTTCTAATCACAATAGTGGTTAACATGTAGGGTTAAAATTAGAGAAGTAGCAATTATCATTTGAAGTTGGAATACAACAGTAAATGAATGCAGTCAGTATCATATTGCACTTTTCAAATAGGTCATAGTTATCACCATCTAAGTCCTTCAAAAGTCAGCAAATGTTGTATATTATACATGACACATTGTATGTTTAGGTTAGGTTATGTTTAGCTGACTACATACGACATGCAGGAGGTCTAGTCTCATGAGATTTTATATTGTGACACAGGCCAAAGACATAATGATAACCTGAAATAATTTACTGACTGACAATCGCAGAATCCCCTTGGAAATATCAGGTTTTACACAATAAAACCTGCGGAGCTAGGCTGATACAACAAGAAGGTCAAGGATGAAGACTCTTAAGCCTAGTGTATACTTGCACGGAGCTGGATACGGTGATAAATATCGTTTGGTACGCTACATTATTCTGGTTAGTAGGTTTGTGTCTTATAGCAGCTTAATACGCAAGACACAAACACAGCACACATAACTTGACAAAACAAAACTCGGGTTTAATGAGCGGTTGAACAGGTTTGCATGTTTGCTGTAAATATTCCATTATTTCATTTTTTATTTTAGCTAATAAATCTGCTTAAAACACTGCTCCTCACAGCAGCAGTAGAACGCTCCATTGATTTGAATGTAATTTCAAAACGTTCTACCGATCATTATTTATTGATAACGGACCTCTCAAAATAATAATGACCGCTGCCCATGGCAACGCAATTGCCATGGGCATTGTAATTCAGATGTGTAGATTACTCCGCAAGTAATTCCAGACACTTTGTTGCTAGCCACGCTCAATAAACGCTAATACCAATCAATCAACACAATTAAATGTTAATCCTAGACTACATTATACATATACATTTTTTATACACGTGCACAGAGGTTTTCAGAAGTATCTGTTAAGGTTTTCATTGCAAAAATACTGTTTTAACGGGAGAAAAAGGGATTGCGAAAAACCCGGAAGGAGATTCCGAGACATTTTAGGACACATTTACAGAGGATCAAATTATGGATTTAGGTTGGGTTTATGTTTGGGTCACTCACCACTGATGTTCAGAATTCTTTGTTCAGTTTTCATGCAGTTCGAGAGAGTTCTAGTTTGGAAGTTGCTAGCCTAACTGTTACTTGCCTAGCCACGGGAAAGCCTTCGGGAACAATTTTATTTTCTGTCATTAAATAAAGCTTTCGACATTCCTAAGAGTGGACTGAAGTTTATTTTGTGTTTTCTGTTGGTACAAAGCCGTATAATAAGCGGGATAATGTATATTACGCAGGGCGGTACTTATTATCCGATAATGACCTGCGTAATATACATTTTCCCTTACATATTGTAGATATAATGTGTTTTTTTAAAAATTAGCGCTACATTGGTCACTATGGCAGTACAACCTCGGCAGCGAATTTTGTCTCGGACTGACCCCACCGACAATGTTGTTACGACAATACATAGCAAACGAGGATCTTCCTGTAGTCTATTGTAAAATGTGTAGTTATGTTCCCCAGTCTTGCGGCTCAAGGTAACTCACTATTTACGTAATCTCCTCAATTAACCTGCTGTCCAGCACTATATCAGCACTTCTCAAAACATGTGGTTTGTCTATCTCAATCTGAAGCTGTCTTTTAACATGGTGCACTCTCAGCATCTGGCCTGAAGTGCTTTAAGCCCAGAAAATTATTAGTATATTACATCACTAAGCTGTTTCTATGCTACAACCTCAGACACACTTGAGCATTTTTTTACTTGACGACTTTGTTGGATGTACCTCGTTACAAAATGCAACATTACCAGAACATAATAATAATTCATTGGTTTATATAGCGCTTTTTTATACACTCAAAGACGCTTTAAATGTGTCATTATTCTTTCACTGCATACACGGTGGTGATAAACTACTACTGTAGCCACAGCTGCCCTGGGGCACACTGACAGAAGCGAGGCAACCAGTATGTGCCATCGGCCCATCTGACCACCACCAAGCATTCACACACACACCAGACTCATTCTAGGCAATGGGGGTAAAGTGTCTTGCCTAAGGACACAACGGCAGTTTGGCACTTTACAGCCGCAGCCGCCTCACTGTGGCTGGTGTTCCCAGAGGTTAAGTGTCTTGCCAAGGACACAACGACAGCAGACAGTGGGAGTCAATGGTGAAAGTCGGGCTCGAACCCACGACCCTCTGGCCAATGCTCTACCAACTGAGCTACTCTTGCCCTAACATGTATAACACACAGATGGGATGTCGAATGTCTCTATGAAAACTTGATCCATGTGACTCCTTTTGAAACTTGCTCTGTGATTACTGGAGCAATATTGTTATGTTACATATCCTATAACATTGATTATTAATAAATGCCCATAACAAATTAAAAGATGAAAGCACTTCAGTGTGTGCACCAGTGTGCACCCTGCTCGAAAGGTCCATGAGCATGTGTGCTGACATGCTTGCATTCTCACTCCTTGCCTGTGGTGGAGTACCCGGAAACAGAATTACCCAATGACTTTGTATGCCACCTCATTTCCTCTCAAAAACTGCTTGGATGGTCCAAAAGTCGGCTCTAGACCCAACTCTGCCTTCCAGATGCGTGTCAATGCTGAGGAGAGTATTTATATTTTGGACCAGCCTAGTTTAGCCGCTGTGGACTTTCAAATGCACTTGTTAAATGAATGGGGCTCATGCTGGCTAACACATGCGTAAATGCGTTTTTTCCCATTTTCCTTTGAGGGGGCTGCCCGTGGTAATTTTGAATTTGCCCATACACATTTCATTGGAGGAAAAAGGCGTCATGTAGTCCGAACAGTCTGTGGTGTGCACCATCAATCAACCTCACCTGCAATCGTGTAAAAAAGAGAGTAAAATGAGCATTATTGTACTATTTCAATGTAACTTTACCTTATTTAATATGTTATTTTTACCTCGAAATTGTAGATTTTCTTCAAATTTGTATTATATTTGACAGAAATATTTGTGAAGCAAACCTCACTTGGATGACCGTACTGTTGGCTCTGTTTATCGCAGTAAAAAAATTAGGGCTGTCAAACGATTAAAATTTAGTTGAATAATCGCATAGGAATGGTGAGTTAACTACCGCATTTTTAACATTCTATTTCAAATCCACTCCACTTGAAGTTAAATGAGATTATCAAATGTACTTGAATCTGTTTGATTTGCTCACAACCTTTTACTTTTGGGCACAACCAACATGAGCTGTTAATTAAAGGGAAAATGTACGTACCCCAGCTTTAATTTAGCGAGTTCAGCTGGGTGATTCTCTAGGGCGCCCTTTTGGGTTCTCTGAATTTTGAAAAATTACCAAAAATTATTGCATTTCTGAACATTGCATCTGTAGTATTTGAACCTCTGGTAAAATACTGTTTCCCACCTTGGACATGGAATACCAAATATTACTAGGAATTTACAATGCTTTTTGTTACAGGGTTGAATGTTACGGGGTTGAAGATTCAACCTAAAAGTAGCCATATCTCCCTTGTTAGCAAACATGTTAGTACCACATGGCATTTGGAAATCATGAAATTGATATACTTTTCCACACAGTTGTTTGAATCTTCCTAAACAATATCTAAATATCTGTGTAACAGAGTTGAAAGGTTGAGCATGACAATGTCAATCTCACAACAACAAAAATGAAGTATGGTTAAAAATGTATGCTAATAATTACTTCTCTTCACAGCATGACCTTGAAAAGACTTGAGTAACTTTGTGAAGGTTGAGTGGGTTGGACTGAAGAAT